GGTACAGGTCTTTTTCTGGAGGCCCTCCCCCTACTCTGACTACACCCACGGTCCCTGTCTCAACTGGACAGAGGATATCAATGTCTTTCTTTTTGTTCCATGAGACAAGACACTCATGGCTGTGGCATTCAGCCCAGGGTGGAGAATGACAAGAGAACATGCTTTGAAAAAAGTCCTTAAAAGAACATTCTAGACTTAGAATAAGAACACAGTGTACCTTCCCCTCCCCTTCTGATTTCTTACAATGCCAAAGTGCCTCAGCTGCAGATTCACACCAGTTCTAAACTTCTACTGTATTTCCCTGCTCAAACACTGATAGGGCTATCCCGAGCCGAGAGAGTACTCACATGCCCAAAGCTGCCTTTTGCCTTTGTACCGCACAGTGCATTTCCCATCCATCATCTAGGAATTTAAAACAGAAATCCTGTCCAGTATGTTTTTCTAACATTTGCTTTATGTCCTCTACTTGGAAATGTATTGATTTTGCCATGAAAATATTTTTTAGGAGAAAGTAAAAAACCAAAGGACTTACATGAAAAAACAGCAAATATTTTTAAAATGCAGTTTTATACAAAAGCAAGCTAAAATGTTTTTGGGCCTTTCTTCTCTGTTGTTTGCATTGTTTTAGGTTGTTGCATTGTTTAATGTTTCAGATTCGGTACTTTCTAACACTGAGTTTGTGGTTCCAGTCACCTTGTTCCACTAATGTTTTATTTAAATAAGTCGAAATTAACTCCTCATATGACCGGGAAATGCAGTTCCTGTTCTTTGAAAATGTAATCAAATGTTAATCACAGCCCCCATTCTGTGTGTCTGCATATGTGGAGTGACATTGGAGAACAGGGTTAAAGTGAACAGACTTTAATTCTATTAAAGGCAGTCCTGTGCCTTTACTGTTGTTGAAAACTAGTTAGCGTGGCTGAAGGACATGTTTAGAATGTAAACTTTTTTGCTTTATAAAGAGGAGAAAGTCGCCTTTTTCCTTGCTGATGAACTGTGCCTGGACACCCGTGGGGCGACATGAGAAGTCTGAAAACTCTTTACCATCCAGATTTCTAGGAATTATGAAGAGGACAGAGGTACAGATAAAAAAGCAATCCCAAGTGGGGTCTGTGCCCTGGGGAGACCTGTCTGGATCTCCTGCAAACAATCTCCTGAGAAAGAATCTGGGGGTGTGGTAAGAGCTGAGAGGAACTCATTTAAAACCCCTGCTGGAGGACCGGCTGAAAGAGCAGTGAGAAGAGCTCCGCCCTGTGCCCCGGGCCTCTCCAGGCCCTCTGGCCTCAGGCCGGCAGCTGAGCAGCGGGGCCCGGGGACAAGTCGTGGGGTCTGTCCTGCAGAAACCTAGAACCCCGGGCCGGGGCTGCCCTCTGGCCGAGCCCAGGCCTTGGTGCAGCGGCGAACCTCTCCCTCCAGGCCCTTTCCCCGCATCCTCACGCCCATATTCTGAAGTGCCTGATATATGTTAAAAGTAGATAGTAAAAAGACATTTTAAATATCTTTTTGTTAAAATTCATAGGAAATATGTTTGTTTCAGGGGGAATGGCCAAACCACCTCTTTGAACTGTACACCTCTTTGAACAGTACACCTCTTTGAACAGAACCAGTTGTGTTTAAGCACTGGTTCAAGGGAGGAGGGGGAAGTAAGTGCAAAGAGCACTATGCCAGTTTGTTTATAATGAGACAGAATTAACCATTGTTTCATGTTTGTGCATTTTGTTTTACTTTGCCCTGTATATAGTGTATAAATGGACAGATGAGTCCAATTTTCAACGTCTAGTCTTTCTAGATGTTAAAGAGGTTGCCAAGTGTATGACAAAACATAGTAAACTGATATGTTTTGTACATTTTGTGTTAAAATTCCCAGGAAAGATTGTCTCTGAAAATTTGAGCATTTTAGCCTGTTGGGTTGGTGGAGAAGGGAGAAGAAAAAGGTGGTTCCTAGGCTAGAATGTTCATATTTTGAAGACACTTTCAGATTATAACTTAAATGTGTGCAGTTTTTTCAAGTCTGCTGTGTGTATAGTGGACAGAGTCCTTATTTGAAACAATTAGCCATCTAGATGTTTAGAAGTGCCCAACATGTCTTAAACACATGCCTGTACTTGGATTGGTGGTGGAGAGAAGGAAGTGAGGTAGGGAAGAAGGGTCTGGGCCAAAATGGTAATATTTAGAAGATACCTCAGATTATAGCCTTTGTTACACATGTGCAATTTTATTTAACAGTGCTGTGTACATAGTGGGCAAGTAAGTTCTTACATGAAATATCTAGTCTTTCTCGATATTTAGAAGTGCTTAATGTATGTAAAAGTATTAATAGAATAACAATTATTGTAAATAGCTTTTAAAACCTGATGGGAAATACTGTCTTTAGAAGTGGAATTGTTAAGCCACCTCTCGGAACAGTATATTCTCTGTACTTGTTCATCGGGTTGAGGGAGGTGGGAGGGAAGAAATTGCAAAACATGTTTTGCTAGTGTGTACTAGAAATTTCAGCTTATCCATTTCCCTATGTGTTATGTGCATTTCATTTAACTGTACTGTATATATTGTGTATATATTGGACAAATGGGTCTTAATTTTATAATATCTAGTGTCTAGATATTAAAGAGGTTACCAATGTATGACAAAAGTAGAGTTAGTAAACTAACACATTTTGTATACTTTGTTAAAATTCATTGAAAGGCTCTTCTGAAAAGGACTTTTAGAGATGAAATTGTAAAATCACATCTAAATGACATGTGCCTATGCTCACCCACATGGTGGGTGATGGACAGGAGGAGTTAGGAGAAATGAAGGGTTCTAGACAAGAATGTTCCTAAATAGAAGACACTCTTCAGATATAACCATTGTTACACATGTGTAGTTTATTCAACACTTTTGTATATATAGTGGACAAACTTAAGTCCTTATTTGAAACATCTAGTTGCTCTAGATGTTTAGAAGTACACAAAGCATCTTAAAAGCAGAGGTAGTAAAATAGCACATTTTGTAGATACCCCTTTGTTAAAATTCATATGAAATACTGTCTTTTAGAAGTGGAATAATCAAAATGATCAAACCATCCCTCTGAGCAGTACACATTATTATATTTGTGGTGGTTCAGGAAGGAAGGAGAAGAAAGTGCAAAGGGCTTTATACCAGTATGCTTATAATTACACAAGACTAACCATTGTCCTATATGTCTGCATTTTGTTTTACTTAGTTGTATATATATTGTATATAAAGGACAAAAGTCCTGACTTACAACAGCTAGTTTTTCTAGATGTTAAAGAAGTTGCCAGTGTATGACAAAAGTAGAGTTAGTAAACAAGTATATGTGTAACTTTGTATTAAAATTCATAGGACTGTTCTGAAAACAGCTTGAGGAAATGTAACTGTTCACATACCCTCTAAGCATTACAGGTGCTCAACTTGTCTCTTGGGTTGATAGAGATGAGAAGGGGAAGAGTTTCAGTCCGGAATGTCCTTATTTAGAACTTACTTCCAGATTATGTAGCCTTTGTGTGTAGTTTATTCAAGGTTACTATGTGTATAGTGGAAAAACTTAAATCTTTATTTGAAACGTCTAGTCTTTCTAGATGTTTAAAAGTGCACAACATATGTTAAAAGTAGAGTGGTGGGGGAGGGAGCAGGAAAAGAAGTGCAGAGGGGTTCTGTGCCCAGTGAGTCTTTAGGCAAATTCAGATTGTCTAACCATTGTTCTGTCTGTACATTCTAGTTAATATTGCTGTGCATTAACAGATGCACAAGGCCTAATAATGCGCAAAGTATAATAAAAGTAGAGGTACTAAAATAATTCCTTTAGTTTTTAGAAAGGACTGTCTTCTCTGAGTTACTTTGTTAATCCACTCTTGGAGCTAGATGTAGTCTTGCACTTGGTCATTGAAATGGTGGAGGAAGGCGAAGAAGAAGGGTAAAGGAAGGGCTCTTTGCTATTATCTCCATCTTTAGAAGACATTTTTAGGTTATTACCATCCGCCTATCTATATATACTTTTTATAAAGTACCTGTGTTCATTGTGGAGAAGGTTCATTCATTATTTTGCAACATCTAAGCTTTTTAGATGTTGTGAGGTGGCAGCGTTTGATGACAAGTGAATTAACCAATTTGTAGATATTTTTTTGTTGTAAGTTATAGAAAAAAAAACATCTTAGACATGTAATTGTTACACCATGGGAAATAATTGTCAAGATTTGTTCATTAGGTTGGCAGCTGAGGGGCAAAGGAAGTATAAAAAGGAATGTATGCAAGTAGGTTCGTATTTACATTTTGATTATAACCATTGATGTGTGTGCATCTCTTATGGCTGTGCTGTAAGAATACATTGTTAAGTAATTCAGTGGAAAAATAACCTCCATGCTAAATATATTTTAATAGTATAGATTGGAAAATGAATTCTCTGAGAAGCATTATGCTGTGTATACATTATTGCTTTATGTCTAATTTTTAATTGAACATTAAGGGAATGTAGTAGTTTAATTGTAACTGTCAGTATGTTTATCTAGAGGCCTCTTGCCGTTTTTGTCTTTTATGAAAAGGCAGGATACATTTTTTTCCTTTTAGATTGGGTTCGTATAGTGTATTCTTGGTTATCAAAATACATAGTTTGGGGGCTTTAAAATGGTAAATATCATCATTTGTGAAAAAGCTTGATGCATATCTACAATCTTAATTACATAAAAGTGGATGCTTAGTTGTGTAGATTCACACAGGGGACCTAGAAGAACACATCAAACTAAAATGCTTGTGAAGATGGATGACTCTGTTTTTTGATTCCTGGGGTTTTCAGTTTCCTATTATCTGCACATGTTAACTTCAAAAAATAAATGAAAAACCTCCAAATAAATAAATCCTCTGCTCTTGGCCTTTCTAGTTGCCGCGGCGCTGGCGGCTGACAGCCCTTGGGCGCAGCCAGGGACCGGGTGCGCGCTCGGGCAGAGCGGTGCCACTCACGGTCCAGTCCCGCCCCCCCATGCCGACGGCCAATGGGAGCCGGTGGGCGGACTCACGCTGCACTTTAGGGAGCGGCGGGGCTCGGTATCTGCAGAGCTGAGAGGAGGTTGGCGGCGGCGGTGTGAGGCTGTCACCATGTCCCTGCAGGTGAGCTGGAGGTGCGGGGGCCGCGCGGGTGGGTGTGTTCCTGGAGGGGAGGGCCCAAATGGCTTGAGAGGGAGGTGTGGCGGCCCGGGCGGCTGGCGGGTCTAGGACCTCCACTTCAGGCAGCTGCTGCCCGCCGTCCTCACCCTCGGAAGAGGCACGCATGATCTCGAGGATACTCCTGCCCCTTCACGAGCGCCCCCTTAGTGCAGTGGAGACCGGCTGGTTCCTGCAGTTGACGACGAGCCGGGGATCCCATAGCAACTCTTAAGAACCCCGGGGACTGGTTAAGCGCAGAGTAGGCACGAACCCCTGGAGGCGGTCAGGTTGCTCCGGAGGACCGGGCGCGCCCTGCTCCGCCCGTCTTTTCTGTCTGGAGCGGCGGCGTGGGCAGCTGGGGCGCGCGGCCCCTTGCTCCTTGGACGTCCAGGGACTGTCTTAGGCAAATGTGTTTCTGAACAGTGATTTGTAGAACGACGATTTAAATACTGCTTTACTGATAGTAAGAAAGTGATGTTCAGGGTGGAAACTGGGGGAAAGAAAACAGACATAAAGCTGTCAGGAATTCCTTCACCCAGGTGATAACTACCGCCCATATGGTGGGTTATTTTCCCCGATGTGCGAGAAATAAACGTGGTATGTGCGGTATGTGCGTATATACATATACACACACAACTGATTATACCATTGTGTATATACAGTTTTGTTTCTGTACTTACCACTATACTACGAGCAGTTTCTCATCATTAAATATTATAAAATGTAATTTAAAAATATCTGCATACAACTTCATGGAATGAACATGGCACACTTCCTGACCATTCTTCAGGCAGTATGTTGAGCTGGGTAAAGGCGCATACTCCCGCTGCTGGCCCGGTTCAAATCTGAACCTCACACTTCCTAGCCTGTGACATGATTACTTAGCCTCTCTGTGCCTCAGTTTCCTCATGTGAAAATGGAGGAGAGGAGGGACTGTAAGGATTCAATGACCTGTTTTTTAGAGCATTTAAAAACAGTTCCTGGCCATATGGATGAGTGTGTCCTTGAACATTTAGACATTTTTCTCTTAAGCATGGCATACAATTCATATTGAGCTTTCCCCCAAATAGTCAAATCTTTCAGTATCAAAACTTTCTTCTCTTTTTGCTTAGTTCTTTGTATTGTTTGGGAAAACAAGTGGGATTTCTCAACTCAACTATAATCTCCAAATTTTATTTTACATTACAGTATGTTTACTTCTGCAGCAAAGCTTTTAGGAGACTGTTTGTTTCTTAGATGATGAAGCAAAAAGGCAGACTGCTTCTTCAAGAAGATACATCTTTTCCATCCATACACATGCTTGTATGACCTAATCTGTGCCCTTCCTTGTCCTTAGAAAGCCCTGGGCACTAATGTAGCATTTCAGTTTTGTCATTATTACAGACACAATATGTGTATATTATGGAATATGTGGGGAGCACAAGAAATGTTAACCAGAACACTTACCAATAATCAGAGCAATTACTGCTTACATATTTTAGTATATTTCTTTCTAGTCTTTATTTTTTTCTACATGACATAAAACTGAGTGTATGAAAACAATTTTGTATTCCTTGTTAAATCATATTTTTTCATGTCCTACATTATTGGTAGTACTTTTTTCAGAACTAGTTTTTTTTTCAAAGAGCCTTGTAACAATAATAATAGCTAACCTTTACTGAACATTCACCGTGTGCCAGGCACTATTTTAAGTATTTTACATGTGTCAACTTATTTAAATCCTCCTAACAACCTTGTAGATAGGTGTTGTTGTTGTCCCTTATTCCACGTGGAAAACCAGAGAGGCTAAAAAATTTGTCCAGTGTTACACAGCTCTTAAGTAATGAAGCTGAGATTCAAACCAAAGTAATCTAGCTCCAGAGCTTGTGTTCTTAGCCATGACATTATGCATAAAGCAACTGATAATTTCCTAGAAAGACACTCAGAAAGATGAGGCAGGGAGTGCATCCCTTGTCATATGCACCCATGCTTCTCCAACTTAATTAGGATTCTGGGCCATTTTCAAGGTTATTTAGGTTGGAGACCCCGGTCTCTGGTTTGCAAGCGGTTTTTCTCCCTTGTAAAACCACAGTTCTGGTTGTATTACAGTCCTGTCTTTGGCACTGGATGGGAATTTTATCCAGTAACTCTGCTGAGATCATTGGGGTTCTGACATTACAGTGAGCTATCCACTTTCTCTACTGAACTTTGAATCTTTGGATCGAAAGGGAGTGCTGGCATTGAGTAAGAAAACGGGTATGGTGGAAGCACCACTGAGCCTCTTTTGTTTGATACCCAGGCTGCTGACATTTCCTACTTATCCCTGGTTTAAAACATTTGACACAAGGTAAAATACAGTTGTAACTCTGGGGAGAAAATCCCTGGGCAAAATACCTTTGAAACCGAAACCAAAGGTTGAAATAAAGTGGGTGAAACTCGTTTATTTCTTAGAAGCAGTCATTCCGTGTCTCTCTCAACCCAGCTGCAGCAGAAGAGCCCTCCACCCAACCTCCCTTGCTAGCTCTTGTAATTACCTATTGATATGCAGATGACCTACTTCTCTCCACCCCTTGGAATCACCTGTTGATATAGAGATGCACTAAAGCCAGGTGAGAGATTTTGGAAATACTGCAATTTTATCCACATGCCACCCCTACAGAAATCTCACCTCACAATCTACTAGTTCCCCATCTTCCACAATGGCCCCTGGGCAAGAAAACTGGGGCATTGTAACCAGACTAATAACATACAATAGCAACAGCAATAAAATCATGATAAACCTCCAGCTGGAGGATTCAGCTAAGTTCAAAGTCCTATGCAGATTTAGTCCATAGCTCACCCATTCCACAGGCAGTAGCTGAACAGGTAGGGAGTTCAGAGCAATCATCACATAGTAGCTGCAGCCAGGCAACGGGTCCAGGCCACAGGGACTGTAGAAGAAAATAACCTTAAGGGCATTAACATACATGTTTTAATAACACCAGCATAGGCAAATCTTGTCCATCAGGTAGGATGCTTGCAGGAGAGTAGTCCTGTGACAGGAGAGTGGCAGGAATGGGATCTCGTTCTGGTCTAGTATACCAGACTTTCACCCCCCTCCCTGTGGGAGTTACAGATGGGTCAGTATATAGGGCTATGGGAGGTACATACACTGGCCATAAAGAGAAAACAAAACTTCCCCATAATATGCTCTTACCTCCAGGACGTTTTGGGTACACTACTGTGATCTTTGGGGGCCACTTTTATGTTACTCCAGGAATACACACAAGAACAGTTTCCAGGCCTTTCTCCCAAGATGCCAGAAGAGCCACCCATTGCTGGTCCATGTGTCAAAATGTCCAAGGCCACATCCAGTCAACAGTGTCTCCAGGGCTTAATGCAGTAGGGGCTGGCAGCAGGGTGTTGCTCTGCTGGCCATATCCTGGCTTCAATAACTCCTCTTTGGTTTGCACTTACAGATTTATCGGAGAGGCAACAATGTGTGTTAGCATATCCGCAGGGCTCAAGGCTCCTTTTCAGTTTCTCATTCAAATGCCGTAGCACTCTCCATAAGCGAACTGGCCAGCCCTGTAGACCATTGGTGTCTGGCTTCAGGCCAGATTTCAACAAACCATTGTACCTCTCTGTCATGCCTGCCCCAGTAGGGTTATATGGTACATGAAGCTTCCACTTTATTCCTAATTGCTGCACCCATTCTTGTAATGCATGTCCAATAAAGTGGGTGCCTTGATCACTCTCAATCACCTGCAGCCGGCCATAGGCTGCAAAGAGACGCTCCAGGCCCCTCTTGGTGGTTTGCTGATCTGCATGATGTGCAAGAAAAGCAACCAACAGGCCATCAGCCATGTCCACACAAGTCATGGCATACCGATATCCTTCTGATATGGGCAGGGGCCCAATGTAGTCTATCTGCCACCTGACAAGGGGTATCGGCCCCCTTAGTATTGTCCCATGTTACTGCAGGACTCAGCGTCTTAAGTCCCTCTCAGAATATACACGGCACTCCTGAGCTCTGCTGACTTCTTCAAAGGTCAGTGGTAGGCCCCACTGATGGGCAACAACACACGTTGTCTTTTTCCCCGCATGCAGCAAACACTAATGTAACCATTGGGCTACATCAGAGGCAGACTTTCCTTCTAGCCAGTGTACCTGGGCCAGTGTGTCTGCTTCATCATTCCCTGAGGATGCCAAAGGCAAATGGCCAGTCACATGATATATGGTAGCAGTCTTAGTCTGACCAGAGGCCCATAGGTCTTGCCACAACTCTTGCCCCCAAAGGGGTTGGTGACCAACAATCTAGTTGGCATGGTATCATGTTGGTGGCCACAGGGTCAAGCCCCTACAGACAGCCCAACTGTCAGTGCGCACAACTACAGGGGAGGCTGTGATCATCCTGGGTGATCGTGAGCCATACTGCCTGTAACTGACTGCTCTTCCCCTCTCCATCCTCTAACATCCATATTGTCTCAGTCTTAGGACAGAAAACCACAGCCCTCCACTTTGGGGGCTGCCCACAACTGGAGCCATCTGTATACCAAGCATCTTCAGGTATAGGGGCTTTTCCCTCCTGATAAGGACTCTTGGCTACCAATGGCTCAATAACAAGTTCTTCCTGCTTTTCACTGGTATAGGTCACTGGCCCTAATAAGTGTTGGAGTTCTCCACTTTAGGGGCCAGTAGAGAGGGTGCTGCACTGCTGTGAATACGTGCTCCATTTGCCCAGTGTAGGCATCTGTGCCACATCACTCCATGGCATTTGGGTCCAGTCTTGCACCCACCCCACAATGGGATAGGTAGTCATTACCTTGATCTGAGCTATTCTAGTGATGGGCTCCATAGCCAGCAAGGCATGGTACACAGCAGCCAAATGCTTGTCTATGAAGGTATGAAGGTGTATTGGTCCTCTGCTCCTTTCCGTAGTTGTGACCACAATCCAATAGGGTAACGTGTCCAGTCAAGCTGTGCCAAAGACTCCATCCATAACC